CCCCCCGCGGCGCCCCGCGGCTGCTGCCCGGCCCTGCGGCTCGGGGTTCGCCGCCGCCCTGGAAAGCCACCCCTATGGCAGCGGTGCGGGCAGGGGGTGAGTGAGGCAAAACCGCAGGCGAGTAGTCCGCCTGGATCCTAAAGTGAGAAAATAACAGCACGCGGCAAGGGGAGGAGGGACGAGAAGACTCATTTTATTGTCTTAGTAGAGCAGGAGCAAAGACACAAGAGGTTATCCCAAAGCAGGATTCACAGGTGTTAAGACAGTCCTGGAAACAGGTGTGGAGAAGCGGCTCACTTTGATGTAATCCCGTGTCTTGATCTCAAATTCTTCGCCCAGAATTGCACAGGACCGGTTTCAAAGCCGGGAACTGAGTTTAGACCCCCGGTCCTCGTCTCCTGTTGCTGTCGAGGACCTTGTTCCTGCATTCCCCTTATTTCTGGGCTTTTCTCCCTTTCGTGTTAAGAATCTTCCTTCCAAGTTCCCTTTCCCTCTTATTCTAAAACACAGAGTCTGAAAAAAACGTTTTAGTGACAACCTACTGGGGAAACAGACCTTTGTTTACTCTAATTAAGTAATTTCTGAACTTTTGCTGTCATCTGGATAGTTGCTGAAATCTACCTGTCGTCCACTTCATTTAGACTGCAAACCCATTGAGACAAACAATTTTTTTTGAAGTATTCTTTACAATGCCAAAAATATGCTTTGTTGTAAGTAAGGATGTAGTCAAAATTTCTGCCTGTTTTACTCTTCCTGTAGTCAGTTCTGGATTGAGGAATGGTCTGTATACAGCACAAAATGTTGATTGTCTGAGCTGCGTCTTAGCAGATAAGTGCTTTACACTTAAAAAGGTTTGCAGCTGTGGTTTAAGATAAACAGACACACCAGAAAGAAATTTTGTCTTGGGGAAAAAAATCTGTTGTTCAGCCTGGATGAACTTGTGGCCTCCTAGCTGTGTTACGGCAGTTGCAAATAACAAAGTGACACAACTTACTCAGAGTTTGTGTTGTTTACAAGACTCGTGCCCTTTTGCTGAGCTTACTCTGTTTTCTGATCCAGAGAGGACTCCTTTTCCGTGTTGAGCCTTTGTCTGGCAAACAAAGACAGTGGGAACTGAAATAGAGAATGAAATTCTGGATGTGTGCACCCTGATCTGTAGGACTTCTTCTATTGACATCAAGGGGCTTTGGCTATGTCACTCTGTCCTGCCAGAATATTTCATTTTCTTTGTCAGTCTGTCTTAAGTGCTTAGTGGTTTTCTGGTGAAAACAGAAAGCTGGGCTCTTGACCGACATCAGCCTGTGTAGGTGCCAGATTGTAACTAGTCTTCACACACTTTTTCCTCCCAGGGACTGACTGGCTTAAACAGTCCAGAGCTCAAGGGTTTAGCTCTCCACTGTTTTTCTAGTCCATTAAAAGAGCTGCTGTTGTCACTGTCTGAAACAGCTCAGTGAGCATTCCCAGGCAGGGGGATCCGTACTAACAGCATCACATAATTAAACAGGGTGTTACCGAGTGCTGCACAAGAAGTGTTGCTTGTTCTTTTTTGTGTAATTGTTGCTAATTTTCAGTTGGTTTATTTGATTTGGCAGATGGAAGCTGAAGAGGAAGGCGCAAAAAAACTGTCAGAAGTAAACTTTGAAAATTTACCTCCCAACTACCATAATGAGTCCAACACGGAAACCAGAATTGGTAATAAAACTGTTCAGACTCACCAAGAAATTGACAAGGTATGAGAAAAGATGTATAGCAAGCTGCTGGTTCTTACGCAACCTTTTCTTCAAAAATAAAACCAATTTTGCACATTTTGTGGAGAAATAAGATCATGTGGAGCATAAACTTCCCTGATTATAATTACTTTGGGGTTTTATTGTGCCTTATTTGCTTGCCTGATCACTGTGTAGGGGCACATGGCATAAAAGGTTAATATGAAATAATAATTTATTTTGAAAAAAAAGTGCCTGCTAGAAATAGAACACAGGTACAGCTATTGCATGCGTCATAAAGGAATGACCATCTGCCGTTCAGTTAGCTTCATTACAGTGACATTTTAAATAGAAAAGGAGGTAGCCTTGTCATCTACTTTTCCCCCTCAGATTACAAGTGGCAGCAAAGTGGGAAAAAAAGGAGGGAGTGGGTGTGGGCTAATTATTGCACAATGAAGTATTGAGAGCAAAAAAAGACTAACTAAAAAATATAGCTTGATATTTTGTTCTTCTGCCATATCAGGTTACAGATAACAAAACTGGATCAACAGTTTTTTCTGAGACAGTTATTACATCTATAAAAGATGGAGAAAACAAAAGAAATCATGTAAGTGAGCAGATTTTTTTCCTTTTAAAAATTAAACAAATACTTGGGGTTCATCATTTAGAAGAAGGTGATGTAGTTCACCTAGTGAAATTTCTGAATCCTTTAAAACACACAAAACCATTATGGGTAAGCAGTCAGAAATGTTTTTGTTTTTTTAATGAATATATTTATATTAATAAATATACAACATCAATATAATTAATATTCATTATATAGTATAATAATATATTTTAATAACTATTATAATATAATATATTATGAATTGAAAGCAGAATGTCAATGTTGTGGTTAACTGAGGTGCTTGATATGAATATTCAGTTTTGTCTGTCAAATGTAAATATTGTACTGCAATAGCAAAGATAGTTACACGGCCCTTTCCAGTGCGTGTGAATAAACCCTTGGTATAACAGTGCTTAATGTATGTCCTCTCTGTCCTTTTGAGTTTCATTAAAAAATTGCTTCATAGACTTCCAACACTAGAAAATAAACTCCAAATTGTCTGTCATGAGGAGTCTGTGGAACAATATACGGCTCTATTTGCCTTTCAGCCTAACCTAGTGATGGACAACTGGTTGTGAGATGTCACTCTGGGGAGGATGAGAGAGGGGCAGGACAATAAATACCCCTGCCCTTGGGAAATACGGTGTTTAAGGATTCACAAATAAATTTAAAAGATCAAGAATATTCTTTACCTGAGTCTTGCAAACACAGGTACATTTGCTAAACATCAGTAGTCCATGAGAAATTCAGCATGTACCACTACTTAGAACAACTGTCAGGTTTTCTTCAGTTATAGTCTTACCAAAGTGGCCTTTTTTATGCTCTTAGCAGGACAGGACTTGCCCATGTTTCCTCTGATAGCTGGCTTCATCTGACTAACAGTTTGTGGTTTAATTTAGTTTAACATGCCCTGGCTTTTTTTAGAGTAACTTTCTTCCAGTTCTTTCACAGAAGAAGCTCTTTAACTATTTTATAGAACTTCTAAAAAAGAAAAAAATTATGGTGGTAGATCCTATTTTTAATGGGCATAAAACCTGAAATTAGTGCATCTTTTCTGCTTTCATCCTCTAAATAAGTTTTCCCTCTTTCAGCTCATATTTTTGTACTGCTATTAAAGTTTGAGAATGGCAAGTAGCAAAATAAAGTTGCTTGGGTATGCTATACTTCTTTTTTTTTACTATTTTGCAAAGCTTATAGATTAAGTGGTAAGTCAAGGTACAAAGTAAATTTCTGCTATTCTAAGCTCCAGCTTGGTTTTATACAAAGTGTTAACATATTCCACAATGCTTTTTAAGAATGTGATATGTGCAATGAAGGCAGTCCAAATGTTTTTTTCAAGAACATACGGTCATGATCTTCAAACCCAGTGTACAAAGGCAAACCTTTCAACCTTTTTAGCACTGGGACAGAACACTAGTGTTGTTTCATAATGTATTTGGCTTGCTTGTGGTGTCTAATCATTTTTCACAGCTGTAAAAAATATTTCTATGTTAGCTTTCTCCAACGATCATAGAAAGTTCTTTACAAGCTTCATATATCAAGTGACATTATCTGCATTTTCCTTATGGGAAGGTTGCCTCACTTACCAAGCCAGTGCTGCATCCAGAACCAATACAGTTATTAGTCTTCCAGCTGAAGAATTTGAGGGCTGAATACAAATTTTTGTCAAACTTCATGGTGGCGGTCTTTATTCAGTTATGAAGTATACACAATCAGAACTGACCACATTAACTCCTAATCATTTAAGTCCTGGGGCGCTTTCTTCATCAACATCCTTACTGCAGCAGCTGCAGAAACAAAACTACGTTTGTTAATGTTTATTTCCCCTCTCACACTCATTTTGAACTTTCAGCATGCCCATGGTACAAACACCTTATTTAGAGGCTGCCAAGTTAGAGAAAAAGCTAAATGGGAAAAGCAACCAACAGATGTATTTGGCTGTTATTTAAGGAGAGCAGGCGAACGCGCATATATTAATTTGACTGAGAGGTGCCTAACAGAAGTAAATCTGAAAATACTTGAAAACTTCAAACATTAAGGAGGAATATGAGTCACTTAGGGTACTGCAAGGGTGAAGAATGATTGTAGGACTAATGGCATGAGATCAAGAATTGGAAAATTTGAGTTACAGCAAGAAAAACATGCTGTCAAGGAGAAATGTTCTAAGTAGAAGAAAAATTATGTCCAAATTAAAAAGCACTGCTACTTAGATCTGTAAAATTAAAACAAAAGTCTTGGGAAAATGAGTTGCAGAAAACTTTCACTGGCCCCTGGGGTCATTCTTATATACACAACTTTTCATAGTTGAAGTGTCATGTGACATTGTGGGATGGACTGGATGATGGAAGAGTAATTCTGCTTCTTCACTGCTTATTTTCAATGTTAGCAACAAAGTAATACATGTATAGGTCTTGTATACTCCTGGCAGTTAAAAATGGAAGCCTTTTGAAATCTGTTTGGAGGTTATCTCAGTGAACCTTTAAATACGGCTAGTATATGCGGTTCTGTAATACACATTCTTAATACCCGTCAGTGATTCATCCTGCTGTGTAGTACAACGCAACAAGAGGTTTGTATAATTGTAGCTGAAAGTATTGACAGTCATTTGAAAAGGGCGACACTGACATTTTGTTCTGGGGATGGAGAATTTGGTCACAGAGACTGTAGGGAGCCAGCCATTGGGAACAGGCCCTCCGTTCTCATGGTACTCCCGTAGCCTTCAGATTGGTGCGTCTTTAGAAGAGCGCTTTTGTTTTTGTTTTCAGTCTGCCAAGTAAAAGAAATAGGCACAAGCTATCACACAAGCTCAACTTCTATGCTTGTAGAGAAACTGGATGCTGAAAGCTAAACCTGTTTCATAGGTTTGGTTTATAGGCTTAGCTTATAAAAGTTAAGTACTCCCACAGCTCCTGCTCTTTAGGTACAAAACTGGGTGGTAAATATGAGAATTCATCAAACACCTCAACAAACCACCTGCTCTGAAATGTAAACTCTATATAATTTATTACTGCAGTAATTAGTAAGAGCTGGAAGGAACCCTACAACCCTCAGTTCACGTGCATTCTCTGAGCTGAGTTAAAAGCCACTGAAATCACTGAAAGTTTTTCCAGTGACTTTTTTGGGCTTTGAAACATGAAGCAAAAGCTTCACAGGTAGGCAAAGATGTGTCTTGTGATGGGTCTGTGTTGCAGTAGTAAATCCACGTACTGGCTGGAATGAAATTCGGCAATGGAGAAGCAGCTTCATGGAAAATAGGTTGTGTCTGCTTTTTAAATCACAGTGCCTGTGCCACCCCTATGTCCTCCTGTAAAAAGACACAAATACACGTATGTATAGGGCAGGTAAATATACATATATAGTGCCGATACACTATTACAGAAACATAAGGCATTATCTTCCCCACACACATGCTTTTGCCTCTCAGACAGTATTTCTTGGCTTTGCATCACAAAAGTATTCTCTTTAGGCTGTATTCTTTGTTACTGAATGGCTCACTTGACAGTATTTTGATGGCCAGAAGACTATGAGTATTTTAAGTCTCCAGAAGAGGAACTGGGCTGTTTGCCATTTCTGGCAATGCAGTCCAGTTCTTCAGAGGTGCTGCATTATTTGGAGGCGCCATTTACATTCCCAGACTAACATTCACTTTCTCAGATGTCAGTGAGGACTGACAGTCACCAGCGTAGATGTCAGGATTTGATCCAACAGTCTTGTATCTTTAAAGAGGCCAAAGACAGGCAAGAGATAGCTGGATGTGAATGTTTTTATGTCTGTGCAGGGTTTTACATCCACTTGCTCCTGGGTTTGAGGCTCAAATATTCTATAATTTTCTTCTCTGGGGAACATTAGTTAGCTTGCAAATTAATAGAGTAATTCTAGTAGTATTCTCAAGTATAGAGCACAGATGAAGTAACAGTACTCTTTATTACCATATGAAAACCAAAATGTTTTCTGGCTTGTTGACTAGTCCTATTTTAATTGTTATACATTAGCCTAACGAATGAAAAGCAAGCATAAAAAATAAAAGGAAACAAAATTGCTACTGGGAAGATTTGCTGCAGAAAGATTAGTTGCATTTCTTCTCAGTTCCGTTCAGAGTAGTATTTTATGTAGAGCTCTCTCTTCTAATTCAAAGCTAATTTACCTAGGATTTTTTCCTGGTCTGTATTAATTTGATAAATAAAAATGGCAACAGCTTCTCTGTAGCAAGTTTTGGGTTTGTTTTTTTTTTTCCCCCCAAAATTTTAATAGGAGTACATCTGGTTGCTTCCAGTTTTCCTTCTTAAAAGAGATTTTTAAAGATGCTAATATCTGGGGAGGGTGTACCAGGGAACTGGAAGAGTATCATGCATTTCTCATTTGGCTTTGGCACTATAAAAAGCATTTCTTTGTTTTGCCTGTCCTTGATGGTAGAGGCTCTTGAGGGCATGACTGCGCCTTCTCATTAATTACACAGTACAGGTCAAAGTTTCTTTGTGGGGGAGTAAGGAGAGGTGCCTTCAGTGGGATTCTGTGCAAGGTGCTTGCTCTTTCTCTGCAGAGGTGGGTGTGTGTCTGTATGCACGCATGTATTTGTCACCCACCTTCTACAAATACAGCACAGCTGGTTAGTAAGTAATTTCAAACACTCTCAGGTCCTTAGGAGAGAGTCCACATGATACCAGGCCTTTATTTCCATGGTTAGAGGCTGGCGTTTGCTTCCCTGCGGCTCTGGGCAGGGAGGACTGTATCACTGTGGAACTGCTTTTACAAGCAGACTTGGCAGGTTCTGGACGTGACAGTCAGTCAGGTCACTGGTTTACCTGTAGAGATAGAATGGATAGCATTCCCATTATAATGGCCTTATTTAAAGCATTTTTTAGCCTTTTTCTTTAGTCTCACAGTAAAATACTAAAAAGAAAGAAAATAGTAGAGGAATTAAACATTGATCTCTGGGGTTCTATTTCCCGCTTTTCTAGAGGAAAATCTGTTTTAAATGGCTAAGCTGTAGCACTTCATAA